TGATCAAGAAAACGAAAGTTGACTATTACTCAGGCATTATACGGGAGAGTAGTAATAATCCCCGAACTCTTTTCAATACGGTAAATAAGCTCCTACATAAGCGCGTGCCAGCGGAGTATCCTTCAGGGTGTGCGTCTGATGGTGATCTTGCTAACAAGTTCATTGACTTCTTTAGTGAGAAGATTACAGTTCTGCGAAACTCACTTGACTCCACATCTGATATTGTTGTGGAGTCCGATGGCATTGTCCATCAGTGTGCCTTGTCATGTTTTAAGTCTGTAACATCGTCTGATGTCTCTGAATTACTTAGTAAGATGACCATCAAATCCTGTCCTCTTGATCCCGTCCCTGCTTCTGTTTTGAAGCAGTGCACATCAGGTCTTTTGCCTGTTATGACTCAAATTGTAAATCAGTCTTTATGTCTAGCTGTTTTTCCAGACTGTTTTAAGCTTGCATTGTTGAATCCTCTTCTCAAAAAGCCCACACTTGATGTTGAAGTTTTTTCGAATTTTCGTCCTATCTCAAATTTGACGTTCATGTCTAAACTCACTGAGAAGGTGGTGGCATCTCAGTTGATTAATCACATTTCTAGTAATGGACTTGATGAAATACTACAATCTGCATATAAACAATTTCATAGTACCGAAACAGCTTTAGTTAAAGTTTTTAATGATATTATCCTAGACGTTGATAGGAATAGGACTGTTATCTTACTTTTATTAGATCTATCGGCCGCTTTCGATACGGTCGATCACACTATACTGATTGAGAGGTTAGCAAACCACTTCGGTCTTTGCGATCTAGCTCTGGCCTGGTTTAAATCATACCTGAGCGACAGAACTCATTTTGTGAGCATTCGTGGTGCGCGGTCTGTCACCTGTTCGCTGTCGTGCGGAGTACCACAGGGCTCCGTGCTTGGACCGATTTTATACCTGCTCTATACCTCCCCATTGGGGGATATTGTCAGACAATACAACATGGGCTATCATTTCTATGCTGATGATACTCAGTTGTATCTGTCTTTCAATTCTCTCAGCGGGGATGATCAAGCTTATTCTGTCTCTCAGGTTGAATCTTATGTTGGAGATATCGACCGTTGGATGTCTTGTAACAAACTTAAGTTGAATAGGGACAAGACGGAACTGCTCGTTATCAGTTCAAAATATCGGCCACGCCCATCTTTTGATAGTATCCTGATTGGTGATCATCGTGTAGAGCGGTCTGACAAAGCTAGGAACATAGGAGTCGTTTTTGATGAGACCTTGTCACTGGATAAGCATGTGAGTTCCGTTTGTAAATCTGCTTTATTTCATCTTCGGAATATCGCTAAGTTAGAATGTATCTGACTTCTGAGAGCACAAAGACCCTTGTCCATGCTTACGTTACTTGTCGACTGGACAATTGTAACTCGTTGCTCCTCGGGTCACCGGACTATATTATTCAGAAGCTCCTGCGCGTTCAAAACTGCGCCGCACGCCTTGTAGCTGGGCAACTTAGGGCTGCGCACATTCGCCCCGTCCTTAAGGAGCTACACTGGTTACCTGTGGAGCAGCGAATTACCTTTAAAGTATTATTGTTAACTTTTAAAGCTCTCAATAATCTGGCGCCTCCGTATTTAAGTCAACTTATAGTCCCATATAACCCTACAAGAAATCTTAGGTCTGCTGGCAAACATTTATTAGAAGTACCGAATGTGCGCCTGAAGAGCTATGGGGACAGGGCCTTTTCGGTCGCTGCCCCAAAGCAATGGAATGATATTCCCTTAGACATTAAATTAAGTGGATCAGTTGATGTTTTTAAATCTAGATTGAAAACTTATCTTTTCCGACTCGCTTTCATTTTACTTTTTGTTTTAGTGTTATTGTTCGTTAGTTATTTTCTTTTTTGATTGTAAAGCGATATAGAGCTTTTGTATATACCGCTATACAAATAAAGTTATTATTATTATTATTATTATTATGTGATTTCCAGCCAATTAGAAAGGCAAAACTCATAGAACCCTGCACCATTGCAATAGACAATAAGACAGGGACTTTGGCAGATCGAAAATCATATAACTGAATTTGGTCAAAATGGACCAAAACTAACAGATCCTACCTCAGTTGCATTCAACCACGCTGGTGATGTGCTGGTTACTGCCTCTGATTCTATCTATTGTTTTGCTGTCCGTGGTCAATTTGCAGAGTGCCCCAACAATACTGAAAGAAATCAAGTTTCTGTTCTCGTTGACTGTTGCTTGGCCGCCTGATAGTGTGTGACTTAGGTGACAATTCCGTCAAGGTCCTCTCTCCTGACGGTACAGAATTGTTACAGTTCTTTAGAGTACCAGACTGCGATGAATCCCCGTGGAAAGCTGTTAGTCACCAAGACAAGTTCTTCGTGTCATACCCCACAGCTGGTTGTGTTAAAACGTTCAACAAAGACGGGGACTTTCTTTATGACATTGGCGATGAGCTGGCAGGTGAAGGACAATTGAGTAAGCCCCGTGGACTTGTGGACTTGGTGTTGATACCTATAACAACCTGGCGGTTTGTGACGAGGAAAACAAAACGTTAAAGGTGTTCAA